GTACGGGCGCGACACCAAGGGTTGCGATCCCGTTACCGGTCAGTAAAAAAAGACAAAAAGGGGAGAAAAAAAAAAAGATGAATTATTGAATCTGAAGGCCAGAGAGTAAAAATACTTTAATAAAATAAACAAGGTCTCAGTGACTTAGAGTTAACATTAAGTGGCCTAACGTGAATGTTCTCTGAGCCTCAAAAAGAGAACAGAACGGGAAAAATCTAGAAAAACAAATTTCAAGAAATAATTGCCTACATTTATTAAATGTAACATATCCCAGAAGCTCAGTGAACCCAGCAAGATAGATAGAAAGAAAATCATATCTCCGCAGAACACATTAAATTTCTAAACATCAGAAATGAAGAGAGAATTGAAAAAGAGCACCCACTCCACACAAAGATACTACATATAAGGAGCAAGGGTACAAATGATGGCTAACTTATCAGAAATAATATACGGCAAAGGACAATTGAATCACATCTTTAAAGAGATGAAATTTTTTTAAAAACCTGTCAATTCAGATTGATATCTAATAAGAATATCATTAAAAAATGAGAGTCAATAAAGACATTTTAAGGTAAACAAAAGTTGAGAGTATATGCCACCTATAGGACTGTATTTCAAGACATTCTAAAGAAAGTTCTTCAGGTTGAAGGTAGATGCTATCAAGTAAAAGCTCAGATATACAAAAGGAATAAAAAGCCTCAGATGTAGTAGCTAAGCGGTAAAATGCCAGCAAGCTGTCTTGTTTTTGTTTAATACTTTTGAAAGACAACTAATTGTTGAAATCAAAATCTATAATATTTTATTATGCAGTTAATAAAATATAAATATATGGGCATTATAGCACAAAGGATAGGGTCAGTATAAATGGAATAATATTGCTGCAAGTTTACTTTTTTATGTAAAGTGGTATGATAATTTTAGATAGAATGTGATAAATTATGAATGCACATTATGATCTCCATACTAACCACAGACAAACAAAAATATAAAGAGATATGGCTTAAAAGGCAATAGAGGAAATAAAATCAAATACTAAAATATATTCAATTAACCCAAAGGAAGGCAAAAAAAGAAGAAACAAGAAAAAATAGGACACATATAAATCAAGTAGTAAGTTATAAACCTAAATCCAACTTTTCAACAATTTATCAGGAAGACATAATAATTATAAATAACAAGACTTTAAAAAATTGAAATAAGCTCTAATAGAACTAAAGCAAAAACAGGGATTTTAAATACCTTTCTGAAAACTGAAAGAACAAAAAGAAATATAGAATCTGAAACTAAATGATTAGTTTCTAAGTGATCAGCACATTTTTTTTAATAGCATTGCATTTTTAAAAGAAAACAATGCTATGAATTGTTTGTGAAT